TTTATTCATCAAAGAATGTATCGGTTTCCACAAAAATATTAAGCAGCAAAACCGTTTTCAAATGTGATAATAGAAATGTTTCTTGAGCACCAAAGTAGCATATTAGAATAATTTCTGAAGGATAATGTGACACTGAAAACTGGAGTAATGACTGCTGTAATGACTGAAAGCTCAGTTTTTGCATAACAGGAATAAATTACATTTTAATATTCAAATAGAAAACAGTTATTTAAAATTGTAATAATATTTCATAATATTACTGCTTATCTGGGTAAATCATTTCACCACTACTGTATGTTGCTTGGAGAGAAGTGCAGTGGTTAATTTTGCTTTAGCTTTACTAAACTTGACTCTGTATTCATTTCTGTAGTAATGGCACAATCCCTCTCCCTCTCCCTCCCTCTGGCAGTGGTCCTTCAATCAGGGTTGAGTTATGACCAGTCTGGCCTGCACACAGTGATCTCTGCATCCTCATTAGGCCTTCATTAACCCTCTCAAGCTGAGCTTCCACTCAGCTTAGCAGTGGATGTGTTTGAACACCATTCTTCATTTCCCACAATCCCCCGCTGCTCAGCACAGTGTATGGGAACTGTGGTTCAGTGCCGGGCTTTCAGCACATTTACTGTAAAATGACATACAAGGCTCTGGGGACATACATTGACCTATTGTGCTGCACAGACACATTCATGAAGAGAAACTGCTTTTGGATGTGTCAAATGCATGTCATTATTTTGACAAATAATATCCCTTCTGCGATGCCTCTGAAGCTTTTAAAATGAGACTCTTGAAAAGGAATAGAGCCACTTCTATACCTTCATGCCCTTGTGTTCGCCTGAGGATATCTGTAATATAGATATAGAAATATCCTCAGCAGGTTAAAAAAAATGAGGTAATAATGTTTCAGAACTGGTTTTTGATCTCAGATCTCAAATTAAAAGTCATATCTGGTATGTTGGTGGCTGCCATATTAAGTTTGGGACTCTGGGAGGCTGATGTGATAAAAGTGATCATATGATCGGCGTTAGTCCCACAGTAGCAGTTCACTGTAAGTGTGTGTGTCCATGCCCAGAGAAAACTGGAGCAATGGTAAACTTGCATTAATTCACCAAGGATAGTTTTACATTAAATAATTAATGTTTAGGAGACCTGACTAAACAAGTGAGCAAACAATCTCCAGTGAGTCTCATAACCAAATGAACAAATGAATTAATATGTTAATGAGTTAAATAGGTCTATATTTCAGCAAAATTCCCCCACCACAGTACTTTTATACTTAAAGTTATACACATAGTTATATACAAACACACACAGCATCTACAGAGAGCAATGTCAAATATATGTTCATATCCATAAAATGATGCACACTAGGGTTGTGACGTGAGGAAATTTTCCCACCGGTTAATCGACGTGCAGCTCGACTCACTCTCCTCACTGGAGAAATGAAATCTGATCTGTGATGCGACTGTCGTTCGGCACGCTGCCGCGTTCAGTTTTTAATTGTAGCATCTGTTCTTTTACTGAACTAAATGATTTTTATTTCTATAAAAAATCAAAACGACGGTGGGGGTCGGTGCCGCGGTGGGCAAGTGACGTAACCAGTGTTGCGGCTTAACACCGGTATCACCGTCAGCACCGTCTATCGCGGCAAGCCTAATGCACACATATATAAATTAAAGTATATATTTATGTACTGTGTGTGTGTGTGTACATTTAGATTTAGTATTTTAGACATGCATTCATGTTTATATTACTACCTGTATAATTAAACCTGTAAAATAATAAAATACTATATATCAGTAAGTATAGTATTGATTATTTGTATTAATTTATATCATATATTGGGATCCAAGACTAATAGTTTGGATTGCACACTCTCTTTCACATCCTTTCTTCATCCCTCTATTAATTTATCCTTTATTTTACCATTGGACATCTATACTCTGGGGCCGTTTGGATATAAATAGCATAAGGTGGAAACAGAAAGTTCTCTCCATCTCTCCTCTATCTCTCCTAAAGTCTAGGTGCCCCAACTCTCTGAACATAACATCTGAAAAGGTGCGGACGACCTCTTCTATCAGGACCGCTCACCTTTCTATTCACTCTCTGTCTTAGGGATGAGTGAGAGAGAAAGAGACTCAGATGTAATGATCTAAATAAATGCAGAAGAGTACCTAGCAGGAAATGCTTCTGCCATGTATTTGCTAACATGGTGGTTCTCAACTAGTGGGATGCAAAAATGGGTCGCAGGTTTGTTCTGAAAAAAGAAAATGCTAAATGCAACTAATAATGTATTCATGTATAGTTATGATGGTGAATAACTAGATTTAGACTATTTGTCCAATCAAACAACATTATTTTGCTGCAAATTCATGTCATTTTTTAGATGCTAGCAAAATTAGACAGATGCTTTCATGAACAGGTTGCATGACAATCCCTCGTCCTAAAAGCCAAGAGTAAAATTACAAGGTCAAAGAAAATATGAACCAAACTAAATTAAAAACAGTTCATTTTTTCATGTTAAGGTCATTTTTGTTTACTTGGTGCGATAAAGAAAAAAGTTTATACTGTATTGGATCACAAAATCTGGATCCTGTAAGAAAACCAGTTGAGAACAATTGGCTTATTGACATTCTAGATTCTTCTTCTTTGTTCTCAATGGGCATTTAGGTTTTTGAGAGAGGCGCAGAGATTCCTGTGGTTGTGTTGTCCCCCTTTTGTGTCCTGGCCCTTGGTCTTTATAGCCATCTTAAAGATGTCTCTGTTCTGAGTTGAAAGGATGAAGAGGTGAAAAAAGTGAGCAGGACCATTTTTTCTCTCTCTCTTTATGACCAGGACTCCCCCGGAGACATTCTCCCGCACAAAAATAAAAATGTTACTAGTCTCAAGTCAAGTCTTAATATTTACTCCAAAGGGCAGGCCATAAACTATTAATAGACAGCTGTCTGTCTGCACAAGGCTGTGAGGGAGAATGATTTTATATTGAATCCTCATGTGGTTTGCCAGTAAAGGGGAGAAGAGGTGGTCCGGTCTCTCGCCATCCCGCTGGGAGTCCTGCTTTATCTCCCTCTCCATCCACCGCCAGACGAGACGAGAAAGGCCATTACAAGGCTGTCTGGGAATATTGCAATATTCAGCAGGGCGATTATCTGACGTCTCCCTGGGAGGCACATTTCCTCCGTGGAGGGAGAGAGAGGCGTACCTGTAGCTTAGAGGGAGAGAGTGAGGCTGATAAGGACCCTTAGAGTTGACAGAGAGGAAGTATCACCTTTCTTGGTTTTAAAGGAGGTCTTTCAGGGCAGGAATGAATATTTATATGAGGACTCAAAATCTACAGGTGGTCGCCACAGCAGTTTAGAACCTGTAATGCTTCTGTTTCGCATTTTTCTAACTTCTAATATAGTTTCTTTTATATAAAAAAAAATCATTTTATCAGCATAGCTATTTGAGTTGAAGTTGAATTGAACTTAAAGAGATGCATTTCTAAATTTCTTAGTATCATCTGAAGGTCTGTACAAAGGGGTTCGCAAATTTAGTTATGATCAGTGAAGAAAAGTGCAGGATCTTCATTCCTTATTCATTTTACATTTCTTTATGTAAATAAATTCACAATCCTAAACCTTTCTGTTTATTTTCAGGTTTAAGTGACATTTCGAATTCTAGACTTTCAGTGTGGCCTTTTGAACCCCGCTGAACAGAATATGCAAATATGAAGGAAATGTTTGCTATTTAAACATTTGCTGAATATTTGATTTTAGTAATACAGTGTATTCCCTACAGGTTGACGGCAATCTTGCTTTGTGTTGTTTTATACTCTTGTTCACATGAGCTCTTTGTTTTGGGAACATGGGAAGAATCAAAAGAGGGTTTTGTATGTATTGAGATTCCTGTTGTACTAGTGTAATCATAGAGATCTTAAGCAGGATGGCCGGTCTGGGTGGTCCGCAAAGGAAGGAGATGGACTTGAATATGGGATCCAGTCTCCGCAGTGATAAGGGCGTGCTGGGAGGTTTTGTGTTTTTTTGTTTTAATTTCAATCTTGATGTTCTGCTCTTAAGTGACATTGTTATTCTGGTGAGCTGTGGTTAGAGATGACTAGAAGTTTGATCTTAAGTGGAGGAAGTGAAGTGTTGAGGTGAATGATAATGTGTTCTCTTCTTTTGTATGTATTTATTGTACCACTTATCTTGATCATGCTTTTGATTTAATACAAATAGGCTGTCCCATAATGCAGTTCACTCAGCTTGACCTTTTATTTCCAGTGTGATTCTACCTGTTAAGACATTTTTATTTAAATTAGGTTGTACATGCAAAAATACACTTTATTTATGTCCAAAACAACAATCACTGATTTAAACATGAACAAATGTGGCAACAATGTAGCATGCTACTGTATTTTAGTATTGCATAATGCACACTTTTTATATGTCTTCTTTAAAGTAGTATTATATTTAAAAAAAAAACACTAGTGTTCAGTTACAAACCTAGTCATATATATTTTTTTTAATTGTCCATAGTTTTTAATTCATTAATAATTGGCTTGACAATTTTCTGTGTTGTTAGTCAAAACATCTTCACTGAATAAATACAATTAATATATTTATGATATTCCAGAAAATGCTTTTTTTCCCCCCTAGCAACTCTGCAAAATGTTCTGCAGATTTCCAATTTGGAACATTCATAAAATTCTACAAATGTGATAAATGTTTTAGTTATTTTGATGATTGTTGCTCTGTGCATATTGATAGTTTGCCAAAATTGTTTCAATAAATAAACTTTTTATTACTGTTTTAGACTTATTTGGATTTTCAACAAAGTAAGAAAAGTATCTAAAAATGCCTCAGTGTGTCATAAATGAGTCCCCTGAGCTCTAGTTATGACAGGTTTGAGTACTGGTACTTTCATATTTATTAATAGTGTTGCCCCTAGCCATGTGTTTACCCAGAGATGCATTGATCCAGGTTTCCATTATGCTAAATGCCTCTTTTCTGCTCTTTCTGCAGATCGACCGTGTCATATTCTGCGTCTTTCTGGAGACAGATTATGAGATTTACAAGAGGAAGATGTCAGATTTCTTCTCCCCAGGTACTGTATCTTCTTATTGGAATCTAACTTCATTTTATTTGTTGGTTGTAACACCCACTCAGCTCAAAGCTTGTTACTTGGGTATCAGGCAGAATTCACAATGTCAGGCGTCTGACTGTTTATATTTTGTTGTCAAAGTGCACAAATTCAGCACAGCAGGCAGTGATTGGATTCCACATAACCAAATCCTGTTTATGGTAATGTACCGCCCAGGTTGGATTATTTAAACTGAAAATTATTTCACCCCACCTTGATCATACAATGCAATCAGGATAACCGCAGTCAGACTCTCTTCCAATTAAAGGGCTGTTATGTCATCATGTGCTCATTTACTGTCATAATTTATATGTTGTTCCAAACTTAGACAATTTCCTTTCTTCTGTACAATACAAAAGTAAAATGCTGAAGACTGTGGTCACTTTTTTCAATTGTTTTGTTGGGTAACGCTTTACAATAAGGTTTCATTTCTTAACATTAGTTAACTTTATTAATTATCATGAAATAACAATCAAAAATACTTCTAAAGCATTTATTAATTTTAGTTAATGTTAATTTCTGCATTTACTATTACATTTTTAAAATCAAGAGCTGTATCTGTTAACATCAGTTAAAACACTGTGAACTAACATTGGACAATTATATTTTATTAACATTAACGAAGTTTGATAAATGCGGTAAAAAATATATTGCTTTGTCAGTTTATGTGAGCTAATGGAATGAGACATTATTGTAAAATGTTACCATTTGATGTAAATATAGAAAAACTTTCATACTTCAAAAAAAGGTTGAAAAGCATCATAAAAGACACATGTAGGTTATTCCCTGAAATGTTTGGCATTTCCTTGTTGTGTTCATAAAGAAGTAAATATGTCTGATTAATGCACAAATTGCTCTTGTGAGTTGGATCTTTTCAATGAATCATGATCTGGTTCACAAAACTAGCATGCATGATTTGTTCATCGTCACTCAGTTGGTTACAACAGTTAGCAACTCACTAGAGGGGTCAGTTATCACTTAAATTTCGGTCTGTTTCTCATTCAAAAGACCTGAATTATAGTGCACGAGTTTTATGCTGCATTTGCATCAGGTCTGGACTGGGACAAAAAAATCAGCCCTGGCATTTTTGGTCCAAACTGCCCACCACTTTAAGGATCGGTCCAGTCATATATATGCAGTGTCATTCAAAATATACCAAAAAAATATTCAAAGTTATGACTGTTTGAGGAAACTAACCAGTAGGCTGTCTGCAAAGGAGTAGGGATGCACCGATCATGATTTTTCATGCAATTCTGATTGCTGATTTTTTATTTCTTTAAGCTAGAGACAGTATATACATATATTGTATTGGCCCCAAAGCGCATCAGCCCACTGGGAAAATGCCCCGTATGCCAGATGGCCAGTTCACCCCTGATTTGCAGTATGAAATCTTCAGTCTTCATTCATTATAATTGCATGGAAAAGAGTGACCAGCATAGTTTTCAGAATCTCCTAAAGTCATACAAGTTTGGAGCGACATAAGGATAAGAAAACAATGGAATTTTTTTTGTGTAATTGCTCAAATAATTTCAGAAAGTTTCCCAGAATCAATATTGCTCTGTCGGGCAAACAGTGTAATGTTGAAGCCGCCACAGGGGAAATCAACCTGCAAATGGCTTACTTTTAGCACATTAAGCCAGGTTAGGAGAAAGCATTTTAACATTGAAAAAAACATAGACACCATGTTTAAAGAATACATAAAATATTACATATATAAAAGACCCACAATATATATACTGAGAGGAAAGGAGAGAAATAGGATAAGCTTTGTGCATTGGAACGTGTCTGCATCTCACGGCTCATTGCATTTGCGTCTAAGTTTGTAACCAGCCGCCTTTCAGTGATTTTTGGTGTTTCCACAAACTCAATTCGTAACTAAACTCTTAGGCTCCTATAACATCTTGCTTTTCCTTGCTGCCTGAGAATCCCAGGAAATACTCTAGTGTATGAGTTTAACAGGTGTGGAGCATTTTGACTTCTAGTATTTCACAGTACAGATTGCTTGTTTCTGAAGCTCAATCGTTGTAGCCCGGAGGTCCATATGTAGAGCATGACTCAAAGGGGCTTTACTTCTGTCAACACCCTCAGTGATCCTGAGCCTCAACGGCAAACCCCAGATGTCGGAGGCACGCAGGACGGCACCTCCTCAGTGGCATTCCACCTCACACTTTTGCTTGTCTGTTTCTGGTTGGATCATGTGGTCTCTGGTTCTGGCTTTGGTTTATGTAAAGATGAACTGTTGTGTGTTGGAACTTTAGAAGTCGGTTCCTCGGTTTTCACTTTCTTTGTCTTACACTTTGGCCTTCTGTCAATGTCAATATGACTGTTTTGCTTTCACCCAATCCCTCACTTTGCCTCTCTTTCTTTTTTTTTTTACTCCCTCTCCCGCCTTATGAGACATGGCACTAGCTAGTTCCATGGGAACTTGTCTATTGTGTGCCCTTGTAGCATTTCTCTCTCTTTAAAGGCCAAGTCTCTCTCAGGGAAGGCTCTTTTCAGTCTCCCTGAGCACTAAACAAAAATATGATGTGAGTGCAGGCCTCACCAGAGCCCTTTTGGACCTTCCCAAGTGTTCTGCTGTCTTGCTCTGCCTGAAGCTCGCTGCACTTTCATGACAAGACCCCCTGGAGGTTTCCAAATGAGCCGCTGCCTGGAGGTTCGTCATTTGTATGGACACGCACACACACACACAAACAAACAGAGGAATGGTGAATGCACAGTACCGAGAGAATAATATAATCCACCATTTCCTCCCCTCAAACACACACTAGGACTCGTAGACCGGGCGGAATAATAAGTGTTACTTATTATAAGTGACACTCACTCTTTCCCTACTCGCTGAATGTTTTGTTTCTGTCATGTTCCTTTCACACACATACACACTCTTTTCCTCTTCCAGGTCTTGCTGAAAGATAGAACTCACCGGAGAATTTGTAATTATATCAGCCAGGTCCTTGTTCCCCAGGTGTGTCTCTTTGTATTATGTTTAGAAACGAGATGGCGGAGACGCTACTCTCTTAGTTTACAACCAATCAGTATGAGCCAGTCACCTCACTTCAGCTTTCTCCGAATTCTCGCTCGCACTTGATTTTTTACTTGGACCTGACTGAAGTCTTAATCCAGTACTAGTATAAATTATTTTGGTACAAAATGCTTTATCATAAATTTGAAGGGACCATATTATATATATTTTGCAGTATGTGAGGGCTTTTTTCCACTAAGGCCCTTTCATATGACTTGCATCATGGCTTTGCGCCACATGAAAAGCCATCAATCAGGCTTTTTTTGTTACTGTGTAGCAAAAAAGCAGGAGCTACACAGAAAATAGTGAATGAGTTTTTTGATACATCATGCAAAGTTTTTTATTGGCTGTGCTTCAAAAGGTCAGTGGCAAATGTGACGTAGACATGAGTCATGTAAAAGGGTCTTTATAATGTTAGTACAATAATAATTTAGGTCTGCATGGCCTAAATACTAAATAACTGTTGATATGCAAACATGAGCAGTGAAAGGGCTGCACAATTTGGGGATTTTTATTTTTTTCTGATCAACATAAACTCAGCACACCTGAAACGACGATAGGTGCATGGGAACAAAATCAAACAAACAAACTTGAATCAAAAATAAGTAACGAACCTGCACACTATCAATACTTGCTAATTCTTAAACTTTATTTATCACACGCAATGTTTCGGTCCACCGACCTTCATCAGGCAAATGTATAGAATTAAATATCACGTGTGCTTCAACCCATGTTGTATACCTTATTCGATGTCCATGTGGACTTTGTTATGTGGGAAAAACATCTCGACAATTAAAACAAAGGATCAGTGAACACAAGAGCTCTGTTAGGAGAAAAGATGTCATATCCAGTTGCTGCACATTTCATTTCTTTTAATCATGATGTGTCTGCTCTACGTTTCTTGGGAATTAAAAAGGTGTCTGTCACACCAAGAGGTGGTGATATCGATACCCTTTTATTAAGACGAGAACTGTTCTGGATTGTAACATTGCAAACTTTATCACCCTTAGGGTTAAATGATGAGGCATTATTCAATATAATGTTGTAAAGTGTGTTTGCTGTATATCTAAGTGTCAGTTTGATTAAAAACAAGGGGATGATATTAAAACCTTGTTAAGATGTGCGTTTTCTGATAACCTATTGTGATTTTATAAACATAATTATTTTTGTATGTGTGAATAATGATATATTTTTCATTGGGGATGTTGTCAAGTGTATTCTATTGTATGCTTGAGCCATTAGTATCTATTATGTATGTGTTTGTGATTAGTCCACATATGATTGTCTATTATACTCATTGGTTGGGAGAGTATATAATTATGTCGTGTTTTTAATTCTATACATTTGCCTGATGAAGGTCGGTGTACCGAAACGTTGCGCGTGATAAATAAAGTTTAAGAATTAGCAAGTATTGATAGTGTGCGGGTTCGTTACTTATTTTTGATTCAACTATTTTTTTCAGATAAAAATTGCCATTGTGATTTAAAAAATAAAAGCTCCAGGTTTTATTATTATTATTATTAATAATAAACAAAAAAATGAATATTATTATTGTAATATTTCACTGTAAAAAAAAAAAGTTTTAAGAAAAATAAAATAATAATTTTATTTCCAAGTTAAACTTTTAATATAATATTTATGGCTGTCTTAATTTCTTAATTTTCAAAACACTGAACCATTAAGCTTGTATTTTGGTGTAAAACCACAGAGAGCACTAAAATCTTCTGTTTGGTTAACAACAGCTGATTTATAAGCACTTCTGATTACAAGTTTAATAAGATGGTTGCCACATTTTTTGTTCCCAAATTAACGTTATAAGCGACCTTAACTCACAACATGTGCAGAGATGAGTTTGTATGCATGCCGGTACAGAACACAATGTTGTGCTTTACTTTTGATTAATCATGCAGTTCAACATTACAACCCTTTCCTGTTTCTTATT